CTCAAGAAAAACAAACATATAAACAAACAAAATCAGAAATCAAACAGACACACACTGTCTTTAGGGTCAGGGAGCTGGGTTAAGTCAGGCTTCAAAACTTCCCTCATCTAACATTTGATAAGCTCTACACCAATACCAGGCCGGTACCGGCAGGTTTACGAGAGTGAACAAAGACACGTGGTCCTTAGCTTCAGTGAGCTAGCCGTGTCTCCACCATGCCCACAGCCATTTCTGTGATCATGGGAGAAAGTCACTTAACCTCTGTGAGCCTCAATTCCACTAAATGTTAATTCACTGGCAATAACTGCAAGAGAATGATATAAGGGGATTCAAAGAGCAAACTTACGTGAACTTACTCCACAGAAGGTCATCTAAATACAAGTGTTTGCTTTATATTGACGTTTTCTACCACATGGATACCACAAGACAATTATTCTGCACAGACCCCTAGTGCGGAGGCACGGGAGTCTTTGCTTCTTACTGTCCTCAACTGCTCAGCCGCAGCTACCCCAGTCAGTCCCCAGGAAGCCTGAAGACACTCCAAGGGTCCCCTAGACCAACCGAAGCTGCTGGGTATCCATGAGATCCAAGGTGGAACATCAAATACCCTGCATTTGTGTTACTCGCCAGTAAGGAAGCCAGGGAAAGCATTTTAACAAATGACTTTACTGACTGATTTTAAATAGTGGTAGAACTTAAAGGCAAGAGTCCTGAGAGAGTCACACCAGAATAGACCTCCAGTGGTCCATCCGGTTCTCTGGAAGGGAGGTGGGACTTTGGCTGATACTCAAGAAATACTCATCCAGACGTGGGGCAGGGCTTTCCGGGCGGAAGGAACCTTACTCACAAACACCTAATGCTGAGGAAGACCTGAGTTTGTTCGGGAATGGAATACTCCTGATGTCCTCAAAGGTAAAAGTTACAGAGCGGGAAAGGTTGTGGAAAGCCGTTGATCTACTCACAGGCCACTTCCCCTGAAACTCAGAGCTGGAATTATGCTAACGTGTATCATAAAGCCCAAGTCACAGCCGGAACACCAATTCCTCCCAAATCCAAAGCTGAGCTTCTCCTACACAAACGCGCCCACCAGTCTGAGAAACGCCCTTCCCCGCTAAGGTACAAGGCCCGGGGACGGTGTCATGACTCCTCTCTGACCAGGTTGCAGACTGCTCAGCTAACTGTTCGGGGTGTCTGAACTGGTTCTCTGAGCTCGGTCAGCACTTGCGAACGCAGAGATCCCCACAGATGCGCTGATGTGTAAGCCCCGGGAAATCAGTTACATGCTCAAAATAAAAAGACTACAAAAAAACTGATTTTTAAAATACTACAATGTATTCAAAACCGAAAACCAGTTTTGTACTCAAAGAGGGAGGTAAAATGAGGAAAAGACAAAAGGGTGGTTGCCAATAAATGTACCATGAGAGAAAGATCTGAAAAAAATTATTCTTCAGTAGCAGAAAAACATCATATACTTCCTTACGGTAGCATCAAATTACAATTCCCATTTCCCCCATATTTAAAATTTACCTGAAAAGACAAAAGGGTGGTTGCCAATAAATGTACCATGAGAGAAAGATCTGAAAAAAATTATTCAGTAGCAGAAAAACATCATATACTTCCTTACGGTAGCATCGAATTACAATTCCCATTTCCCCCATATTTAAAATTTACGTTATTTCTCTCTATCTTCTGAGTAAATACTTTGATACGTAGAGATGAAGACTGGATTTTTAACCTGTAAGATTACCTAAATAATTGTAGCCAATTTTATGCCTTTTATACTCAATTGGCTAACTTATAAATTATACAGATAATCATGTAAGGGAAAGGCAGTTTTTATGAAAAAAAGTCCATGCCCCTTAGTTGCTATGCCAGTCTTCTAAATGAATCCGTGGCATCGCTGCCATCTTCCTCTTCTTCTGAAGGACCCTTCATGCAGGACAGTCTCTAGGTGATAGTGTTAAGGGCTCTGCTTCTCTTTTCCCACATCCCAAGTTCAAAATCAAGCCACACACCTGCTACTCTTCCACATCTGAAATGATTTCTGAAGGCAGAGTGGCTGGGTGTACATAAAGGATGCAGGTTTGGGCCCAGAGAGATGTGAATTAATATCCTGGCTTGACCAGTTCAACTTACAGTACATCTTCATTTGCCCAGTAACACAATCTATAGCCAACTGCTAACCAAGTCAATATGTGGTAAGACTAACAACCATCCTAACCTGCCTTGATAATTATTCTCCTTTAACTGACATAATATTCAATATACCGTTGTTGAGAGCAATAATGCTAAAATTGATGCCTTCAGGGCTACAAGACAATTGAGTTTTGGGCAGACAAAATGACTTGTACACTAATAGTGCATTATAGAGTCCACTGCTTTCAGATGCACATTTTATAGTCTACCTGTATGAAACCACTATATATATATAATTATATTCAAAGACATCTGAGCATGCTTTATCCTTAGTACATGTAAGTTTTAAATGTTGGCCAATAATCAGATAAAACAGATTTAGAAGGGATTTCTTTTTATATTCCTTTTTTTCTTTTACAAAATGAGTATTTTTTTCACTAAATAGTTGAAAATGGTTTTGAATCCTACAACCTTTTACTTTCTCAAACCTAAGAACTGTTTTCATAAGGAACAGGTATATTTTAAATGCTGAATGATAAAAATCATCATTTAAGTAAAATCTATTGTCCATCAATTCTATCAATAAAACAAGACATACACTAAGCCTAGAGTTCTCCTAATGTAAAAAACCAAAAACCCCCAAATCTATAGTTTCCTGAAAATGTCAATTCTAGACTCTGAATGGAAAAACAATATATAAAATTTTGTATTTTTCAAAATTTATATTACTGAAATTAATTACAAGCATCACACTGAAGGATGTTTCTTATATAAAATATTTTACCTCAAGTAAGATAGTTTACACATGTTAGTTTGTGGGTTTTGCTGAATTTTTCTTTCATACTTAATTTCTCTTGCAGTTTTTTATCTTTACCTTGTGGGATTTCACATTAAAAAAGAAATAAGAGCACATTTTAAAGGGGACGTTTTCTGTACTTGCCTGGGAGATATATTGAAATGTGGGGGAAATTAATACTTAAATAATTGTTTAAAGCAAGAAAAAATAGAGATTCTGGTGGAGGCAGAACAGGAGTGCCGCGTCCCAACAGTCATCACGTTACGCATAACGGCCATCGAAGTGCTACAGTAAGCTGTCGGCCTGTGCTCGTGGCAAATTGGCCTAGCCGTGCAGTTAGCCACCTGTCTGGACAGAAATACCAATGCACACGCTCCTGTTACCCCAGGCAGAAAACACCTGTGGAACTGAAATGTCACACTGATGGAGCAAAACAGTATTACAGCAGAGACAGTAAACATGCGCTTCTCAATCAGAGCAAAATAACTTATAGGTTTGGAATGGGACCACTAGCCAAGCCAACAGTCCCATTCAGACAGCTATCAGGGGTTTCTTCCTTTGCATGTGCTAGACAAAAAAAAAATATCAATCCCAAACAATTCACCATATTTTGGAAACAAGTATGAAATGATGTGGTACTGTGTAGGTATCAGGGCCAAAATATGTAGAGACCTCGAAACCATCCTGTGCTGGATTTTCCTTGCCCTCCTCCTGAACGTTCTGCCCCCTCCTATCCCCTACCCACCCCAAGGACCGATCTGCCCACTTATCCTACCAGAAATGTCCCCATCCTGAAGCAAAGCAGTGAGATAATGTTGGGAGCATGCTCTGTAAACTGAAGACATCAAACGTGGTTACTGTTATTGTCAGCATCATCCCTTCTTCTTAGGGCCAAATTTCCTGCGCCTTACAAACTAAGGTTCTCGCTAAATTGAGATTCTATTCTGTGAGCAGACAGACTATTCCACTTCCTCTTTCTTTCTCTACTTCTACTCGCCATGCCTCCATTGCTGTCCTTTCCTGCCCAAAACCTGTAAGTGCCACACAGGAGAACGACAGAAGTCTGAGTCCTCTGAGGCATGGCCCCAACAAGAGGCAGCCCAGTCCCCCGTATAGCAAGCCAGCAGCCAAGGTCCTGCTTGTAGCTCAGGTCGTAACACGGAGATAGTAGGCACAGCCAAAAACCTGTTTTGGAGGGGTCGATTCTCCTGACACCGTTCCCATCAGAAATTTCAAAGACCTTTTCAGACTCTGCCTTTTAACTCAGAGCTCCCTCAACACTGGATGTGGTCATCTCATCATCCAGGGCAGAGCTGGATCCCAGGGTCTCCTCAGGTCAACACACGCTTCTCAACGTTTAGTCCTCAGGGGTTGAAGGAAGGCAGAAGGTCATAAAGACATTTGGGAGGTGAAGTGTACATTGGCACAGGACACACTCAGTACCACCCGTGACATAAGAAGAAACAGACAAGGAGGGCAGGCGGGGCAGGGTGAGCTGTGGCCTCTGAGAGGCCTGGAGGCTGTGAGGGGCTGCAGGTCACTGATAGGAAGGAGGGGCTTCGGCTGGAAGAGCAGGTACTGTGAAGGCCAAACCTATAAAACCATGTCTGCTGGTTCAGAATGGAACCTGTGAGGGCTACAAGGCGATGTTTTACTTGTTGTACAAACAGGGAGTTTATAGAGCTTGCAGTTTCTCCTTTGATATGGATAAATATACAGTAAGCAGCGAGGCCACACACTCAACAAAGGAGAGCCCCGTGTCTCCTACTGGTGTGAGAAACAGCACAGAGATGGAGGGTTCTCTCCAACTGTCACACAGCCGTCACCACCTCAGACAGCCTCCTCCTTACCAGGGCTGCACTCATCCTTCACTTGCGAGGGAAACAAACTCACCATGCAGGGAGAAAGTTGGACTCACGACGCACAAATCAAACGAATCCGGTGCACAGGCCACATTTCCCTCTCCAGTACACAGCACCCGTGACCCCGCAGCGGCCCGCCCGTCATCTCCCGTCCCCGTCCTTGACCACAGCGGGGCTCAGACACTGGCGTTCAAGCCCTGCCCTACCTGAAGGATGTAGCCTCGGACGTAGTCCCGCAGCGTCCAGCCCAGGCCGTGCAGTATGTGCAGCACTTCCTCTTGCTTCAGGACGCTGAAGAGCCGGTCCAGCAGGATCTTTAGCCGCACAGGCACTGCCTGCGTCCCATAGAGCATCAGGCTGCTGATGTCGAACACCACGTTGGACTGCACAATTTCCACTTGCGTGGGATGGTACAGGTGCTGTGTGCTGAGCTTGTCCAAGGCTGTGGTTGTCCCACCAAGGTTCCAAGGGTGGGGGTGGGAATAAAGAGAGAGAGAGAGAGAGAGAGGACAAAGTCAGAGTAACCAGGACCATGACTGGAGGCGAGCAGGGCTTCATGTGTACAGGAAGATCCAAGCCACAGACGATTGGGCAAGGTCCTTTCCCCTCTTTCTCTCTTCTTTCTTTTGTTCCCCCCTCTTCACTGTGTCATTTAGCGTTTATAAAGGAGCCAACAGCAAACACAAAATACACACAGCTTCCAGAAAGAGAATAAGAGGGTTTTAAATGACGGTGGCTAGCTTTAAAAATTTGACTAATTAATTTGCTAACTCAACTACTGCAGCTCAAGTCATACTACCAAGATGTCCCTTGATCTTCTCATCATAGATAGACAGATGGCTAGATAGACGGACAGATAGACAGAACTAAAAAGCATACAACCTGTACTGAGGGATAGAAACACCTGAAATTAGCTAAGTGGAATCATTCAAAAGCTTAGTTCTCCCAGTTTCTCCCTTGTTCACATACTACATAGAGAGTATGCCAGCGAAGACAAAACCAAGTTATTTAGGGGGAAAAGAAATTCAAGTTATAATTAGTCACTATGTTAACAACTCTGACAAGGCTGTCAGAAGAAAAGGAAAACAAATGACTAACATCAAAATCTGTGAATTATCTCAGTGGAGAAAACGGAGGATGGCCATTCTTAAAGACTTTAAAGGAAACTGTTTCAACAACTGGGGTCTTTCTCATCAACCCTGAGAAACAGTGTCTCGCCTGGAAATGAATGCCTCAAGGAGAGGTCGTAATTCTAGCTCCTGTCTATATGTGAGTTACTGGGAACCTTAGTGTTCATTCTACCTCAGTTTCTCCAACATATATTAATAAGTTTACACTGCCTCAGCTAAAGACTTGAACAGAAGCTGCCCAGATTGAGAGATGATGAGAGGCACCTAGAACTCCTGAAGAGAGCACAACAGGCACCGCCATAACTCCCAATTCTGCACACACGCTCTTTCCGAAATTAGAAAAAGGATAAACACCGAAACCTGAAAGATGTTCGTCTAACCTGAGCCAGGCAAATCAGTATCAGAAAATATCCTGGCCTGAATCAACCACATTTGAGAGCACCCGAAGTTCTTGCAGATTCTAAGCCGCTGTGTGGCCTCTCTCGAGGGTCCCGTGACATCTGACCCCAAAGCAGCAAGGGCTGCCATCCATGTGAGATCTGAGCAGCTCCTACTTTTACAAACTAGTGTTTCTGCATAATAATTCAGGGATTCAAAAGTGCACGCACAGGGTGTTTAGTTCTTCGAACGTATTTTTTCAGGGCTCCCCTCCACTCTCATTTCCTCCTGACTTGTGGTCACTAGAGAGTTCATGTGCTCTTGATAAATTGCTTTCTTATATCCACAGTGTAAAGGCCCTTATCATTTACCCACTGGCTTCATTCAACACATTTACTCCCAGGAATACTTTGTCAAAGAGTTCGGGTTTCCTCATACTTCATTTCTTGCAGCTGATGTGTCTGATCTTTCCTATTCTAGTGGTTAAGTCAACTTTGAATAAAAAGCTTTAAAAATTAATTTAACATTTGGGAAAGATAAGGGATTCACAAGCCTAGAGACTGAAGTCTTCTCTCACTCCACAGGGCATTCAAACTGCAAAAAAAGCAGGAAAGGGGTATTATCCTTGTTCTTAAAGTACAGTTTAACTCCACAGCCTTCCGATGAAATTGGCCAATCTACTCACAGAACCCAGTAACAAAGGAGGGGAAACCCGCTTCCTGTTTCTCTTCAGCATCCTCCTGAATCTCACTGAACACTTCTCCACAAATTAACACTGCTCTGACCACAGCAAATGTGACAGAGAGGATTCCAGAGGGGAGTGACACAGCTCTGACTTTTCTGCAGGTGTCTGGCACTCAGTGCCTCTCCATTAGGGTCACACAGGTACACGGGCGGACGTGCTCAAAGCTCAGGTAAAGCTGTGATTCCTGTCTCTGAGGAATTATGAAGGGCTGACTGCTTTAAAAGGTGAAAACAACTAAACAGTCATCACAGGTACAGAAAAAGAGGGAAGTTATTCAAACAATCAGAAGGTAGAACAGGTAGAGCAAAAATATTTTCCTTTAAACCCCAGAGTGGAGTTATAAAGAAACTGCCCATTGTTTTCTTCCTAAGTATGTCATGTGTCAAGAAGTAGGAATACTGTGACAAACAGAAACACAGTACACAGCAGGAGTCAACAGTGTATTCTGCACAGCCCGGCCAGTACTGTTTTGGATTTGCGGGCCATACATTCTCCTTCACAGGCACTCACCTGAGCTGTTATAGCAGGCAAGGAGCCCCGCACAGACATGGCTGAAGCTAAGGGCTGTGTGTCTGTGTTCCCGTCAAACTATATTTGCTTCAACAGGCATCCGGCTGACTTTAGGCCCTGATATCAAGGACAAGAAGGCAGGCTACATATTTAAAGAAAGTCAGTACCAGCAGTAGTAGTGAAAAATCCTTCAAAGTTAATAATAAAATACTCTAGTTTAGGTGGCAATTGTTTACATGAGCCATAAGTGAGGGTATAAAAAAACAATTTAACCAGTTTAGAAATAACAGCCTCAAATTTCAGCCTGAATAGCCAATGTCAAGTTTCTTCACTGTGATAAAGTGTTCTGCTTTATATTTCCAGGACCATAAGGAGCCATCATGTGACAACTTTGGGAGAAGTGTCCTTGAAGGAAATAAAAGGCAAGGGATGACTCTTGGTGCCACCACGTCTGCAAACTGAGGCTGTACTTCTGCCAAATTTCACAGTATCTAGATGATTGTGCAGGACGCAGACCTGAAGCTTGCAGGGTTAGGAATATGACACAGACCAGCGTGCTGAGGAGAAGACAGTATATCCCAGCCTCCTGACCACAACCTGCTCAAGAACAGGCAAGTAAGTGACAAGGCTGGGTGGTCAGGCTGAATTGGACCCAGTGGGAACTTCTGCTCTTTTCTATAAATCTGTAGATACTAAAAATGTTTGAGAATACACCACACAAGTCAGGCTGCAAGGTGATCGGAAAAAGAATGAGTAGTGATAATGGTGTTTAAACTGGCAGATCTGGCAGTGCTTCAGGTTGGTGCACCCTGGAGTTTTCAGTCTCATCCCAGACAACATAAGCTCCCCCATCCTCCGCCCCACCTCGGTTCACCCACTCCCTGAAGCAGCGTCCTGTTACTCGAAACTAAGAATGTCCCAACTGATACAGAAACCCTTTGGGCCACTTTTCCAGCTAGATACCACGTAATTTCAAAGCTGCTGTCAGCATTTCAACAAAAGGTATGTTAGTTCTAGGCCACATGCTGTTGGTAAGTTCTGCCATGACTGGAATGAGGAGAATCCTACACAATTTCTTATCTTAAAAAGAGCTCACAGCCATAATGAAAAATAATGGTGGCTGTGGGTAGCTAAAAGAAATGACTATTTAAGCACTGGCTTTATGTTAGGTACTATTCTAGGGCTCACAACTGTCTTATGTAACCCTTTAATTAAAGACTCATGCATGTATTCCGAGATCACAGGCTCAGCAGGGTCAGGTAATCAGCCTAAGGTTACTCAGAATTTCACCAGCTTCCTTATATACACGTTCGGATAAACAATCAATACTAAAATTTCAAGTCTTTATCATGTTGGCGTCCCTCACGCCCAGCAATCTGGGCTTCTTGCCCATCACTCTGCTGAAGCAAGCATTTCACAGGTCACCAACACCTGACTTACTGCGAAACTCAATGGCTTCTTTCTTTCATTATTCTCCGTGCTCTCTACAGCAGCTGACCTTATTGATCACCACTCCTCCTAAAACGTTCTCTTCATTCGCACGTGCATGCATTTACTCGTCAGCACTTATCAATTTAACAGCAAAGTAGGCATCGTATGTAGATGAAAACCCACTTTATGTCATGGCCTCCACCTTAAGACACAGGCAGGCAATACAAAGGCTGTAGAAGCGATCTGGTAAAGTACCATGGCACATGGAAGAGAGGGCAAGTCTTCTGGGAAGCACAGATAATCAGCAGTCAGGTGAGACAGGAGGGCAGAGGCGCAGGCAGATGGAACCAAGACGGCGTCCTCACTCGCTGTGCGCATCAGGCGACCTGGAGGCGGGCCTGCTTCCCTGGTCTGAGATGGGACCAAGACTCCACACTTCTACCTGGTCCCCGGAAGGTGTGGATGCTGCCGGCCAGGGGCTATACCTTTAGAACCACTGAACCAACAGGTGTAAGAGAACAAAATATCCAAGGACTGTGTACAGAAGACACAACCGGGGCAAAATACATAGCTGGAGATGGAACCAAGAAGGTCAGGTGGCCATCAGGAGCTCCAACCCCAAGGAAAAGACCTACAGAAAGCGTAGGAGTGTAACTCTTGTTAACAGGCAATAGAGGTCATTAAACATTGTATATGACGAAAGGATTTTAAGTTACACATAAAACTCCTAACAACAGAAATGTGATTAAAACGACAACTGCCAGCCCGGGAGACATGACACATGTCCGGCAGAAAAAGTGTGTGAAGGTGCTGGATGAGCCTTGGTCATGAGCTACAACCCTCTGACGTGCAACAGTCCAGAACGTGGAGGTTGAGTGAGAGACGCTGCCGCACGGATTCTAACACGAGGTTCCGCCTACACGACAGTGAAAGCCAGAGAGGAGTCAGGGCAGGGATCCAGGCAGCCAAGCGCTGAGAGCAGGGCCCTTCTGCTTTCCTACACAGGGAGACGCCCTAACAGAGGGGTCTGCTACGCCAGAGGCCTGCCAGGAGGTCTGCAGACAAGGCATTCAGCTCCCAGACCCTGCGGCACCACACTCCAGCGCGTGTGCACACGCGTGGCCGCCTTCACTTCCCTGCGCCAGATCCCGTCATCCTCCACACGGTCACGGTACATCCGGGCTCATCTACATGGTCCACTGTCCCAGGAAGCCCCACTCCTGTGAAAAGGAACGATCTGTCCAAAAT